CACCTGTGGCCGATGAAGTAGGGGCAGCCATGGCAGAAGCAGCAGAGGAGCGCGGCCAGCAGCGCGAGGGCGAACAAGATCGCGAAGAAGATGAGTACCCAGAACAGTACGCCGCTGCTGTCGGCGCGGTACTCCTTCTGGAAGGTCGAAAAGAAATGAGGTCATGTATACGGAAAGTGCGCAGTCAAACAAGTCGCATTATTCGGAGCGTTGCTCCCCTCTCTCCTTACGACGGGGTCCCCGATCATGATGGCCGTCTTGTTGCCCTTGAGGCGCTTCTCCAAACTCGCGACGTCGATGATTGCCTGGCTGTTGTACAGCACCGTGGCGGTGACCTGGCTCCTGCGGACAAACAATACCAGGTCGCGGTCAGCGCCCGTGGGATAGGCCAGCCCGCCAGGCAACGCTGTGAGCCGGACGAGCCTACGGGCCAGGGGCTCGACGCGGGCCGCCTGTGGGGGTAGGCCAGCCCGCCAGGCACCACTGCGCGCCGGGAGGGCCTACCCCACGCCCCACAGGGGCTCGGCGCGACCCGTCCTTCCTTACTTGGGTCCGGGAGGCGATCCTGGAAGGTCGTCCCCGTCGTACGGCTTGATGTCCTTGATGGTGACGCTGCCTCCCGTGAGCGAGCTGAGGGTCTCCTCCGTGGCCTTGGGGTCGGGGTTGGTCCCCGGGACGATGAACACCATGGTGCGCGCGCGCGTCTCCGGGGGATACACCCTGACGATGCCGTGCGTCCAGCGCAGGGGGATGCCTGGAACGAACGAGGACGCGGCCGTCAGCTTGCTCACTGGCCACTCAATAATACTCAAGTAGTGCAAGTAGTGATGCGATGTTGACGTTGACTTCACCCACCCAGGTCGTAGGCGCGCACGTTGATTGTGATGATGGACTCTCTCGCGCCCACCGGCGTGCGCACCGTCAGCTCGCCTGTCTCCCGATCCAACACGAAGTGATCGCCCTTGTTGCCGCTGAGGATCTCGTAGCGGACCTGGTTGTTGGGTGACTCCGCGTCCGCGTCCGTGGCCTGCAGGAACACCGGCGACGAGAAGGAGGCACGGTCCGGCGCCAGGATCAGCTCGTAGGGTTCCCGCACAAAGTGAGGCGTCTCGTCGTTCACGTCCAGGACGCGGATGATGAGTGGCACGGTGGAACGGAGGCCGGCGCCGTTCTCGTCCCTGGCCTCGACGTCTACGCGGAACTCTGCAAACATTGCCGTTGTATTTACACTTTGAGGGCTGATCGTGCTCTCCTTTCGATGTGGATGGCCATGTGGGACATATCGTGAAGTTTCCCCATGGCGCCTCAATCGTGCCCTTTTCTCACCTGCAGCGACTTCTCGATCAAAGTCGTGCTTGTCTTTGGTTATGGTGATGACCCCTGTCTCTGGGTCCAGCGCCAGGGACCCGTTCACCCGCCCCAGGATGCTGGTGTACCGAACGTGCCCGAACTCCCCCGTGTCGACGTCAGTAGCTTGCACCTACGGAACATTGTAGCAGAGACATAAAATAGCCATCTACACTACGGCACTACTCCAGGCTAGTACAGTCCGCGCCTGTGGGGTGGACCAGCCCGCCTGCCACCGGTGTGCTCCGGGCGAGCCTACCGCACAGGTGCTGGGCGCTCCACACTCCACTCCTCTCCCCACCTGCACGAGGCGCGTGCCCGCGGTCGCGTTCTCGGGGATGGTGGCGCGGTACTCGTCCTCGAGGAAGCGCGGCGGATTGTCGTTGACGTCGTCCACGAAGACCATGACGTCGGCCGTGGCGGACATGGCCGAGTCCGGGGTGAGCTCGCGCGCCACCACCTTGAAGCTGAGCACCTTGTTGATCTCGTAGTCCAGCAGCTGCGCGCTGCGCACGTGCAGCACGAACGTGGCGCGCTGCTCCGCCACGCCGGGCAGCACCTCGAACGTGCCGTTGTTGTGCTCGAGCGAGAGCGAGAACACGCCGTTCTTGCCCATGTCGTCGTCGCGGACCACCGTGGTGTACGGGTCGCCGAACACGAGCGGCGCGCCCTGCGGGCTGTTCTCCGCGATGCGGCTCACGTAGCTCGGGTGGTCGAAGTAGGGCGGCGAGTTGGCGGCCGGGCCGAGCAGCAGCGCGAGCGTCACGGTGGAGGCCATGGCGGGCGGCTCGGCCACGTTGGTGCGGACCTCCTCGGCCATGACGGTGAGCAGGATGGGCTGCTGCTGGCGCGCGATGGCCGTCAGCTCCGGCAGCGGCCTGGCCAGGCTCACGCTCCCTGCGGCACGACAAGAGGGACACCGTGTTGGATGGCCGTACAGCGTATGCGCGACCTGCGATCGCGATCCTGATCCTGGCACGGCATGTTGCGTGTGCGGGGCGCAACGAGGCTCATCGTGTTAGTGATAATCCCTCATCCCAACGAGGCCAGCCGGGGGCCAGCTCCTGGAGATAGCGGCGGGGCCGGGCGGGCCGGGCCGGCCGCAGCGCGGGGCCGGCAGCGCGATCTCCAGTGGATAATTGCCTTTCCCCTCCCCCCCGCCCCCTACCCCCGATACCTTCGGCCCCCCTGCTACCGCTGCGACCATCACTTTCGCCAACGTATCAGGAGGCCGAGATCTTTATTGCCACCTTAGGCCGGGGCCGGGCGGAGCGGGCGGGGCCTCCCCTCCAGGTAGAGTTCAACAAGGGGAGGAGTGGGAGGGAGAAATAATGTGCCGCATACCCCCCTTCCACCTCCACACACACACACACACACACACACACACGCATAAGTACACACCCACACACATCAGTATTCTCCTGGACGTCTGTAAATCGAAAACGTCGAACGCCATTTTGAGGATCGCTATCCTCTAGCTGCGCCTTCCGTGACGCCCTCTTTCCCCATGTCCTCGCGCCATGGGTGACAAGACGCGGCCCCCCTCCTGTTTGCCTCATCAACCATTCCGTAAGTCCGGACGGCGCCCCGTGACAGGGCGGAGCGGCGGGCGGCCCGGACGAGTGACGGGCTTGAAGCGGGGGCCAGGAAGGGGTGGACGG